GTTCAAACTCGGTTTCTTAACGAGTCGAGTTCGATTTGACTCATTAAATTAACGAGTAATAATAAAGCTCAAACTCAACTCGCTTATAAAAAAAAAAGAGTAAGTTTTAAGTTATGGTGAGTGAAATGCAAATTTTAATGACATGAATTACAAAATATTATACATATATAATTTTTTTTTTTTGGTATAGGGACCTTCCGGTTTCCGGATCCACAGGGGAACCGACTAATCCGGAATCGAGCCGGGTAGGACCACAAGGGTGGCAAAGCTCTCCCTCATGAGTTTTTAATACTGCTGCATTCTCAGGGCTCGAACACGAGACCACTGGTTAAGCTGGAAGAGACCCAAGCCATCTCATCCAAGCGCTCTTGGATATTATACATATATAATTTAATCTTATCGAATCGAGCCCAATTGAACCGAGTATTGAAATATTGTTCCGCCTAAGGTTAGTCATGTTTAGTTACAAAATACTACACACAAATACACACACATATACACACAATAGGGCACTCTCTCTCTCTCTACACCTCTGCTAAACACCGCGTGCACTCTGCAAAAAAATCTCTCTCTCTCTCTCTCTACTGCAATATATTATCTCTTTCCCTTTCCAAGTGACTCCACGAAAAAGAATGGCTTTAGCTTAAGTTAAGTGACAATCACAAACAAAAGAACCTCAATTTTCACAAGGCCAAAAAAGATTAATAAGTGAAAGAAATTGGAGGAAAAATGGATGCGGGCCCACTAACATGAAGCGCACCATGAACGGGAAAAGCCTATATAAAGTTCAAATAGGGTTGAAAGAGGAGTAGCCCATTAGACTTATAAGGTGGGCCTATTTTCCATGTATGAACGATGTGGGACAGCTCACAAGTCATATTCTAACGATAAGGAAAAAAATAAATTAAAAAAAACCTCTTAACAGAGTGCAACTTTTTTTTTTTCTGAAAGCAAAAGGAGCAAAAAGAAACAAAGAAAGAAAAATAAAAAACTGATTCATCAAACTGTAAAAAACACACACACACAGACACAGACACGGACACACACACACACACACTACCACTAACTTCAAAAACTACGAAAGCAACAACTCATCGCTCTTAGGATTTTTTTTTCTTTCTTTTCTTTCCTGTAAAAAGGCTGAAACTAGTTAGCACAAAACTCGGGAGGCCCCTGCGTAGGTTTACTCAAAAAGAGAAAATCAAACAAAAAAAAAAAAGAATAATAAATTAAAAAAAGAAAAAAAAAAACAGAGAGTAATACAAAAAAAAAGTTTTTGCTTATGCGTGTGGTGAAACAAGAAAGAGAGAGATAGTGAGTAGATACATCACAATATCATCATATTCATATATTCATTCATAAATTCATTCATATATATCATAAAATTTTTCCAAGTTTTAATCTTTTTTTCGCAGAAGGCAAGATTTTAGAGAGAGGAGAGAGAAAACAATGGAGGGCGGTGGTGGCTCAGCCGGCAATTCTTGTCTGATGGCTTTCGGAGAGAACCATAATAACAATAATAACAATGGGTTTTTTCCCATGATTATGATTCCTCAGATGGCTCCTTCTTCTCAGCCGCCGGACGGTGGAAACACCTTGTTTCTCCCATTACCGGCGGCCCACCAAGACCTTAACCGCGACGGCGGATCCGCCGCCGGCGGCGGCGGCTCGTCCATGATGCTTGAAGATCACCAAAATCATGGTAATAACAACACGAGCACTGGGTATTATTTTATGGAGAACACAAATGAGGCGGGAAACTGTACCGCCAAGGCAAAGATCATGGCTCATCCTCACTACCATCGTCTCTTGTCTGCTTACGCTAATTGTCAGAAGGTACAAAAATAATAATATATATATTATCAATCACGAAGAAGCTTAAACCTTTTATTGGAATAAAAATGTAATCTT